GTTGTATATAGCTCCTGTATATTAGGTGAGGGCATTTTAAAAGTTGCGAAGTACCAAGAACCTCTTGTCATTCAGCAGAAAGATAAGGATACTCTTTTTTAAAATTCTTAAAGAATCTGTTTCAGTTGATAATATGTGTAAGACTGTGTTGGATATGTAGTCTTTTTTTTTATTATTATTTTTTGTGGGTCATGGGACTTGAATTTAGGGCCTAGGCATTGTCCCTGAGCTCTTTTGCTCAAGGCTAGCACTCTACCACTTTGAGCTACAACACCACTTCCGGTTTTCTGGTGGCTGATTGGAGATAAGAATCTCATGGACTTTCTTGTAGGGGCTGGCTTTGAACTATGGTTCTCAGATCTTAGCCTTTGAACAGCTAAGATTACAACCATGAGCCACCAGCACCTGGCTTGGGCGCTGGGTACTTCAGCTCTTCAGCTCAAGGCTAGTGCTCTACCACTTGAGCTGCAGTGCCACTTCCGACTTTTTCTGCTTATGTGGTGCTGAGGAATCGAACTCAGGGCCTCATGTATGCAAGACAAGTACTCTACCACTGAGCCACCTTCCCAGCCATGGGACATGGTTTGTCTATGTATTTAGTTAAAAATTTATAGCTGAATTTTTTTTTTTGGGGGGTGGAGGGGGCATGGTCCTGAGGCTTGAACTCTGGGCCTGAGCCTTGTTCCTGAGCTTCTTTGGCTCAAGACTAGCACTCTACCATTTGACAGTGCCATTTCCTATAGCTAAATTTTATATTTTTAGAACCCACTCTTACTTCCCAAAGATCTGGCAGTATTGTAAGAATTCTGGCATGACCCTTTATTATAATAAAGGAGATGCTTGTAATTCCTGTTTTATCCCTCTGAGATCTGCTCACATTGCTTGCTGGATGATGCAGCTAACATTTTGAGTGCTGCATTGCAGCATTTATAAATAGCTGTATCTTGACTCTTCTAATAAGATTTGCAAAGATCTCCCGATTCAGTTACATTAAATGGGACCTGTCCTTAAACATAGAGAGAATACACCTAGTATTTTATTTCTTCTCCTACATTCTCTGCATACATGGACCTGATTGGCAAAATCAGAGTGAATCAGTTGCCCTAAGATAAGGGGTCCACTGGTCGCACTCCTAGGAAGTCTTCTCTACTGTGGTTTTCCAACGGTGAATGGGATAGACAGATAAGTTGGTACTGTTGGAGGTTGGTTTTTTTTTTTTTTTCTCTGGGTTTGGGCGCTGTCCCTGTGCTCTTCAGCTCAAGGCGAGCGTTCTACTGCTTGAGCCACAGCGCCACTTCCGGTTTTCTAGTGGTTTTTATTGGAGCTAAGAGTCTCATGGACTTTCCTGCTTGGGCTGGCTTTGAACCGTGATCCTCAGATCTCAGCCTCCTGAGTAGCTAGGATTACAAGCATGAACCACCGGCGCCCAGTGGAGATTGGTTTTTGATGGACACTTTGCCAGGTTTTCCTTTCTAGTGGTACTTTAAAGATGTTAGTCCTAGAAGTTTGGGGAAAGTCTGGAACATTCTTGGTGGAGTCAGCCTTATCAGACTCTTACATATTGCCAGGGAAGGGGTGGGGCTCTTGCAGTGTGCAGCCTCAGCCATGGAAGGAATGTGGCCACATGCCAGGGTCCCAGAAATTCCCAGCACACTGACGTTGGTTGTAGCACCTTTGGATGGCAGTAATTCTTAAGCTATAGTTATGAAATTTTTTTCCTATGTTTAATGAAGTCTGTGGAGATGACCCTTTAAGAGCCAAAAAGGAAACTGGGACTCTGGTAAATAAACTAGAGACAGGGCCCTATCAGGTTAGAAGAGAAACCTCTTTTTTTTTTTTTTTTGGTCCAGTTATGGGGCCTGAACTCTGGGCCTGGGCCCTGTCCCTTAGCTCTTCAGCTCAAGGCTAGCACTCTACCACTTGAGCCACAGCACCACTTCCAGCTTTTTTCTTTTTGCTTATGTGGTGCTGAGGAATCGAACCTAGGGCCTCATGCATGCAAGGCAAGTGCTCTACCACTGAGCCACCTTCCCAGCCCCAGAAACCTGTTTTATTTCCAGTGTTGTGATCAAACCCAGGGCCTTGCAATTCTGCTAGGCAAGCACTCTACCACTATCTCTCTCTCCCTCAGTCTCCTTTGTTGTCTCCTGTAATCTTACCATTAAAACATCTGCATGCGGTTACTGTGGGAGCACATCGGTGACTTTCAGATGTCCAGCTCTCCAGACACAGCCAGTTATGCTTGGCAGAGCTCCCGCCTACTGACATCAGCTGATCTACTGCAGGGAAGAAGAGTCCATTATTGCCTGACCAAAGCACTTGGTATAGAATTGACTCCATTCTACTTCACTGGGGTGACAAAGCGAGCCTTTTAGGTTGGTTAATTTTAGCAGAGCCTTGCTGGACTATCTATCTAGATTGGTAGGGCTACATCAGGCAGGGCCCAGTGCAGTGACACTTGCTCAAGTGGAACCTTTTTTTTTTTTTTGTGGTGCTAAGTGAAGCTTTGCACATGCTAGGCAAAAGCTGTGCCAGTGAGCTATATTCCCAATATGTAACTTCTTAGAGATTGTAGAAATGCAATTCAGGTGCCAATGGCTCATGGTTTTATTCCAGCTACTAAGGAAGCCAAGATCTGAGGATTGAGGTTCAAAGCCAGCCTGGGCAAGAAAGTCCATGAAACTCATCTCCAGTTAACCACCAGAGTGTGAAAGTCAAGCTGCGGCTCAAGTGGTGTCCAGGCCCAGAATTCAAGTCCCAGAACTGGCAAAAAAGTAAAATTTTTTAAAAAAAATGCAGTGAACCTCTGATAGGAATCTTTAATCCTAAAATCTTAGACATCCTTCTGGTACTCCTGTGTAATACAATTATTCCAGACTGTGTAATACAATTATTCCAGACATAACTATACCTTCCTTAGAAAAATTCTTCACCAGAACATCTTGTTAGCAAGCAGATTAGATCATTTCCTGATGGGTTTCAATGTCAACCATTTCTGAGGGGAGAGAGGGAGAGTTAGAACAAGGGAAATGTATAAATAAATATTACTGCCTTAATATTCAATTTTGTTGTTGTTGTTTTTGGAGCCCATCCTAGGGCTTAAATTCAGGGCTTGAGTGTTGTCTCTGAGTTTCTTTTACTAAAGGATAGTGCTCTACCACTTGAACACAGCTCCACTTCCTGCTGTTTTTGGAGGGGTAGTTTATTGGCAATAACATTCTCACAGACTTTCCTGTCCGGGAGACTTCAAACCATGATCCTAGGATCTCAGTCTCCTGAGTAGCTAGGTTTACAGGTGTGAGCCATCGGCGCCTGGCTAGTAAACTCACTTTTTAAAAATATTCAGCTAAAATGTGAGGACAAGGAACATAAAAATAATGTAGTAAGTAACATGGCAGAAACCTGCTGTTGTGGCAGGAGCCGGTTGCTCACGCCTGTAATCCTAGCTACAGGAGGCTAAGATCTGAGGATCATGGTTCAAAGCCAGCCCTGGCAGGAAAATCTGTGAGACTCTTATCTCCAATAAACCACTCAGAAAACCAGAAGTGGCGCTGTGTCTCAAGTGGTAGAGCACTAGCCTTGAGCTGAAGAGCTGAGGGACAGAGCCCAAGTCCAGAGTTCAAGCTCCATGACTGATCAAAAAAAAAAAAAAGCTGCTATTGATTTTAAGTGCAATAAATTTCCCAGATGAGACCAAAAATTACAGAAGATGAGATTTAGCTGTATAAAACAAAACTATGTATGTCCCCAATAATGACAACACACAATAAAAATGAAAAACATTTAATGCACAAAAAAACCCCAGTAAAATCAAAAGGCATCATTACACAGTGCAAGCAGCAAAAGGATACAGAGCTATTAAATTAGTGGTGCCTATAATAAATGTGGTTATTGGGCTGGGAAGGTGGCTTAGTGATAAAGCGCTTGCCTTGCATGCATGAGGCCCTGGGTTCGATTCCTCAGCACCACATAATCAAAAAAAAAAACAGGAAGTGGCGCTGTGGCTCGAGTGGTAGTGCACTAGCCTTGAGCTGAAGAGCTGAGGGACAGCACCTGCTGTAGGTGGAATGTACCAGGCAAGTGTAAGTGCTCCAATACCTGAGCCACACCTCTAGCCTGGCTTGTTCTCGATAAGATCAAGTAGCATATTGCGTGTTTCTCCCATAAATAGGTCGGTTCCTTTTTTGACATTGAAATCTGGAACAACTGCCCAACAAAGCATTCGCTCAAATTTGGGACAGATTGAGTGCCGCAGGGAGCAGCACCACTGCAGGGAGCCCATGGCCTGCCTTGAAACTGGAGCTCACCCACTCAGCCTCCTTGCTTTCTGAAGTTCCCCCCATCCCTGGGAGATGCAGAGGAGGGCAGATCTTCAGGAGACTATCCTCCAAACACAATGGAATGTGGTTCTGTCTTCATTGTATGTCTGGAACTGGTCTGGTCATCACACAGGCAAATGGTTGGCTGGCTGAAGACAGTAGAGTGACATTTTAGATGTATTCTGCTGGGTGTTGTGAAGGGTTTGACAGTTTTATAATTCATCTTTTCATTAAGTCAGGCTGGGATCTGGAAAGACAGAGAAAAGCTGATTTAAATAAGAATAAATTCATTCTAAATGAATGAATGCAGAGACCAGATGAAAGGCCTTTTGAAGGATTTACAGTAATTCTCTAAGCTCCAACACTGTTGTCTCCTTTGAACTCTAAAGCCCCTGTAAAGTTGACAATATAGACATAAGGCTTCCACACCCATCTTTCTCATTTGGTGGTGTGCCTGTGTTGGCCGGCATGACCAGAAGGGCCTGGGCAGGTAGGTGTTGTGGGAGTGAACAGCTGTTTTTCATAAGGGTCATTGTTTGTCAGTTCTTAGAAGCTTCCTTCTCAGTTCAGTTTTCTGCTAGCAATTTCTGATGATCCTTCCTTTTCTCCAGCGTCTAATTCCATTGAGTCTATCTTGATGTCTTGTGGTGCTTATCTCAGGACATTCTGTTTTAACAGAAAATGGACCCAAGTGGGGTCAAGGTGCTGGAGACAGCAGAGGATATCCAGGAGAGGCGACAGCAGGTTTTGGATAGATACCACCGCTTCAAGGAGCTCTCTACCTTGCGGCGTCAGAAGTTGGAAGATTCCTATCGCTTCCAGTTTTTCCAAAGAGATGCTGAGGAGCTGGAGAAGTGGATTCAGGAGAAACTTCAGATTGCATCTGATGAGAATTATAAAGACCCCACCAACTTACAGGTACAGTGTGTCTTTTCTCTTTTGAGATTGCTTGCCCAAATTTATGTCTCACATATTCTTGCCCAAAAACCAGGTGAAAGATTGGGCAGCAAGAAGAATGTAGAGGGCTAGGAGTGTGGCTTAGTGGTAGAATGCTTGCCTAGCTTGCACTGAGCCCTGCCTTCAATTCCTTAGTTCTACATAAAGAGAAAAAGCCAGAAGTGGCACTGTGGCTCAAGTGGTAGAGGCTCACTTTTAGCAAATGAATCTCAGGGACAGTGCCCAGGCTCTGAGTTCAAAGCCCCAGGACTGGCTAAAAAAAAAAACAAAAAACAACAAAGCCTGACCCTAACATGGCAGTACATACTTATAGTCCCAGCAGTCAGTGCTCAAAAAACAGCAGGGCACCAGTAGCTCACACCTATGATCCATCCTTGCTACTCAGGAGGATGAGCTCTGAAAATCTAGGTTTGACACCAATCTGGGCACAAAAGTCCATAAGACTCTAACCTTCAGTTAACCACCAAAAAGCCAAAAAGTGGTAAAGGACAAGCCTTGAGCAAAAAGCTAAGGAATGGCACTCGGGTCCTGAATTTAAGCCCCAGTATCAGCACATACACGCACCAAAAATGAAAAGCCTAAATATGCTTTGTTGGTTTTTTTGTTTTTTGTTTTTTTGTCAGTCCTGGGGCTTGAACTCTGGGCCTGGGCACTGTCCCTCAGCTCTTCAGCTCAACGCAAGGGCTCTACCACTTAAGCCACAGCACCACTTAAGGTTTTCTGATGGTTAATTGGAGATAAGAATCTCACAGATTTTCCTGCCCAGGCTGGCTTTGAACTGTGATCCTCAGATCTCAGCCTCCTGAGTACCTAAGATTACAACATGAGCTACTAGCACCTAACTACTCTTTGTTTGTTTAAGATAGGGTCTTACTGTGTAACCCAGGGTGGCCTAGATCTGCATTTCTCCTGACTCAGTATTGTAGTGTTAGGATTATAGGTGTGTACAAACACACCCTGCCATATCCTAAAGCGGACAGTATCTATAGTATACCTTTTGCTCATTGATTTTAGTGAAATTAATCACCCCACCCCCATCCCCGTTTGAACTCTAGGCCTCTATTGTAGTCCAACACTCTTATCACTTGAGCTACACCATCACTTTCAGCTTTATGCTGGTTAATTGGAGATAAAAATCATGGATTTTTCTATCTAGGCTCAGGCTTACTTCAAGCCACAATTCTCAGATCTCAGCCTCCTGAGTAGTTAGGATTATAGGTGTGAGCCACCAGCACCTGCCTTCCCAGATCTTTTTATTTTTCAGGCAGAATCTCACTTTTTGCCTTGGGTTGTCCTGGAACCACTGTTCACTTTCCAAGAATCTGGGATGACAAAGGACGCAACATTCTGTCAAGCTTGTTGGTTGAGATGGGGTCTTGCTAACTTTTTCTGGGGCTGGCATGGAACTGGTCCCCCTAGTGTCAGCCTCCTAAGGATTCTAAGTGTGAGCCACAAGGCCACACAGGGAAAGACAAAGGGCCTAGGTGCTGTCCCGCAGCCTCTCTGTGCTTAGACTTGAGCCACAGCCCCATTTCCAGCTTTTTCTGAGTAGTTTATTGGAGATAAGAGTCTCACAGACTTTCCTGCCCAGGCATGAGCCACCAGCGCCTGGAGGTGAGACATTTTAAAGAAAAACTACTTTGAAAAGAAAAATTATTTTGGTAACAAGTGGAGTAGTAGCTGTTTCTATGGGTTCCTTTTTTTTCTTTTGGCCTAAGACCAGTATTCAAACATGGAACATGGTACTTTCACTCAGTGGCTAGCGCTCTACCAACGGAGCCATGCCTCTAACCCCTCCATGCATTCTTTTACTGCACCAAAGGACTGTAAGAAGAGAGAATGAGGAGCGGCAGGTAGGTGCAGTCAGGGTCCTGCAGGCCTCTTCCTAGCTCAGTCCATGGTGAGAAAGGTGTGGAGCCATGGTGCTAGCTCAGTGCTAGAGAGAGGCCCTGGGTTCATCCGAGGAAACTCCCCATGGAGGAAGGATAGTAGTGCTGCTTCTAAGGCAAGGAGAAGAAGGGTGTCAGTGTATGAGTGGGTTATTCAAAGACAAACCACTCCCTATGCTAAGAAGACTGGTAGTAAGGTCCTGTTTCTAAAGGGACACAATTGGTCAACAATAGAATTTTAGACATTTTGTTGTGTCTTCTATCTGCAAAGTTGGATGTGCTTCCTGGCCCAACTTGCAGAGGGAATATAGATGCAGACTGTCTTTGACCAGATAGAGAATAAGGCAAGGCGCTGATGAATGCCTCCCAAACTAGAGAGTGAGCCACAGGATAGGGATTAGAGAATTGCTGGGTAATGATTCCGTGGCTTACTTTGTGTCCACCACCAGGGAAAGCTCCAGAAACATCAAGCCTTTGAAGCTGAAGTTCAGGCCAACTCAGGAGCTATTGTCAAGCTGGATGAAACTGGAAACCTGATGATCTCAGAAGGACATTTTGCATCTGAAACCATCCGGGTAAGTTGAGGGAGAGCTGGTAGAGATGGCCTTGCCTGGGAGGAAGAGGATCTTCTTTGTCAAGATAGGCTTTTTTAGCTTTGTAGTAAACCAGTGGCGTGTCCTGAAGGAGTTGCCCAAGTTCTTAGTTTGTGATGTGACTCAGCATGAATATAAACTTGTGTTTGGACATGGAGGAAGAAATGATGTTCCATGGTAGTACAAGTTAGGATATGATGGTCCGTAAACTAATTCTTAACATTGGGTGGGAAAGCCTGTTAGGGAAAATTGGTGGATTTGGAGGTTAGGGTAATAAGACAAATAGGAGCTATCATAAACATTCCGAACAAAGTTCTGTATTGGAAATATTTCTGTCTGAATCTTAGTGCCTTGCCCTTGAGCCACTGAGACAGATAGCCCGAAAAGGCCTAGCTCTAAGGAATGCCTGGGACACTTTTGGCCCATGGCCTGGTGATAGGACTAACAAGAAGGCAATCCTCCCCCAACTCTGGTCCTGTTTATTATGGAACTGGGACTATAATTGATCTTTCTCCACTTTGTTTTTCATTTCAACAGAGTTTAGGGAAAAGCAAATCTCTGATGAGTATCACACAGTTTCTTACCTACAGATGCTCTCTATACCCTTAAAATACTTCCTATCTAGCTATGTCTTGTTTGGTTCTTTTTTTGTTGAGACAGTTTCACTATATAACCTCAAATTGCCCATCCTCCTGTCTCAGCTTCCTGAGTGCTGAGTGAGGGGTCTTTTGGTTTATTTTCTCCAAAACTATGTCCCAATGAGGGCCCAGCCTTTCCTAGGCCTTCACCTCAAGCAGTCCTGATGATTTATATGATAGCTCAAGCAGTCCTGATGATTTATATGATAGCTATGAACCCCAGCTAGGAAAGTTTCATCCCAGCTAGGAAAGTTTCATCTCCACTCTTCCCTGATAACTTTTTTTTTGGGCGGGGGGCAGGGTTCATTCTCTTAGGATCCATTCATTTAGTAAACATTCATTGTTTGCTCTGCTCTGCTTCCTTCTCCACATTGTCTGCCGTTGGTGTGTCAAGTGCACTTGCCTCCCTGCCCACTTATTGAAGTCTTGGAACTAGCTCTGAGCTTATGACTACTAATTATTATCTATTACTACTGATGATTGCAAATATGAAGTAAAAGTGAGTGTCCATTATCATATGACAACTTATTAATTCCACTGAACCTATTTGGACAACTCATCTCTACCATTAAATACAAATATTAGTTTGCCCATTTAGCCCCTATTTTGTATATAGTCTTAGAGTAAGTGAAATTGGCCTGCTTCTTATTTTGGCAATAGAAGTTTTTTCCCCAGAGTGAATGGGGCTGCTTTGTGGTAGAATAGCCAGGTTATAGAAGGGCACAGGAGCAACAGACCAAGTATTTGGCTTTAGTGATTAATCTGGGGGAGGACCCAGAACTGACTGTGCTTACATTTACTACTGAACGCCCTGTGATCTGTGTCGAGATCATATTAAAGCAACATTTAAAATACTGTTAATAGTAATAATAAGAATATTCTGTTAACTACTGTTGTTGAGTAGCTACTAGTTATTGTTAAAGTACAGACAATTTGCTATTATTAATCTTCACAATATGCTTGCAAGGTGACTATTATCTCTATATTAGGAAAGAGTGGAAATTGAGGCTCAGAATTTTAAGTAACCTGCTCAGAGTCCCATAGCTAAGGTGACAACTGGAATTGTGCTCTGCTCCTTTTTCTTTCCAGTCATAGCTGATTGCTTATCCCATCCCAACCTGTATTTCATTCTTTTGCTGGTCCTAGGGTATGAACGCAGAGCCTGGGCTTCGTCCCTGAGCTTCTCTGTGCTTAAGGCTAGTGCTCTACCACTTCAGCCACAGCACCACTTCCAGCTTTTTCTGCTTATGTGGTTCTTAGGAATCAAACCCAGGACTGTATGCATGGTAGGCAAGCACTCTACCACTAAGCCACATTCCCAGTCCTTTTTTTTTTTTTTTTTTGGTACGCGGGTTTAGACTCAGAGATTTAATGCTTGCTTTCTGGACTGGTACTTTACCAGTGGAGCCATGCTTCCCAACCAACAAACCTTTTACTGGTTTTTGGATATAGAGTCTTGTGGGTTTTCTGTCTGGGCTAACTTCTATTTTTTTTATTTCTTGAGGGGCCAGGCCTAGGGCTTGCATTCAGGTCCTGGGTACTGTCCCTGAGCTTCTTTTGCTCAAGGCTAGCTCTACCACTTGAGCCACAGCGCTATTTCCAGCTTTTTGTGTTTATGTGGTACTGAGGAATCGGACCCAGGGCTTCATGCATGCTAGACAAGCACGCTACCACAGAGCCACATTCCCAGCCCTGTCTGGGCTAGCTTTAAACCATGATCCTCCAGATCTCAGCTTCCTGAGTAGCTAGGCTTACAGATACGATCCACAAGCGCTTTCTTATCTTCTTTCCTTAATGTTTTTCCATCTGTTTCTCAGAAAACTCCAGCTCTGGCTCATGCCTCTGTTGAGAAATCACTGAGTCAGAATCAGGCTTTCTTCTCCACCCTGCCAGCTTCTGCTGTTTCTGAAATGCACCTGCCTCTGCCACCCATGTTCCCAGACAATAGGAAGCTGTGCAGCTGGGCTGTCTGGGCCCTGTAGGACCAAAAGAGTTCAGACCAACCAGAGAGGAAAATTGCCAGTACCACAAGTGGCCTTGCCTGAGAGATGACATGTGTGAAAATAAAATTTGTGAGGATGCCAGTGGGCTTGGGAGAGGTTTTCCCTATGTCCCTGGCCTCACCTCATTCTTTAGCAGGGAGCTGTCTCTCTCCACTTTTGTGTACATGGTGAGCCTGTCTTGGCAGTTTATCTGTTGCAGCTTAGTTTGGCATGTAGCATTAGTACAGAAGGTGGGTGGGGTGGAGGACTGGGTCTGTGTATAACCTGTCTATCACTGATTTAGACTTTCACACCTTACCGGACGGCGTGGCGCCCTATAGTCACCGCCACCCACATTGGCTCCCACATCCGAGTAGGTGGATACTGACTTGCCATTGGTTGCTGTGGAAATGCCTTTCACTTCCTCCTTGGTGCTGGCAAATGGTCCTTACCATGGGCAGAAGTGAACTGTGTGAGCCTGCCTCTCCCCACTGCTTTCTCCTTGCCAGTGAAACACTCCTGCTTTTTCAGTCCACCCTCCCCAACTATCCCTGATTTTCAGGGGTTTTTTGTTGTTCTTTTTTTGGGGGGAGTGGTGTTTTAACCACAGGCGGATCTCACACTGTGTTTCTTTTGGTATTTGAACCTTTCTGTTTGGTTTACCTTTGCCTGTCAGTGTTACACAGAAACTCCCAGTATCTTGGGTGAACATAATCAGGGCACTGAAGTCTGATCAGAATACTGAATGAAGCACCAAGGCATGAATGAGAATTAGTTTTCCCCATTCCATAAGCCCTTAAAAGGGCCTGTGCTCTGAACACCCAACGATGCTGGGAGGTGAATATGTTTGGCCCTGTGCCTGCTACTTGGTGAAGTTAGCCTGATTTGAGATGTTGTGCTGTACAGCTGTCATACAGACCCTCCAAACCTTTTTCTGCCCAGAAATCTTTGGTAGCTGATGACATTTCAGGATCCTACTTTTTTTCCACTTTTATGCTAAGATCTTTGTTTTGTGCCTTATAATATTTGTCGTGTCTGTTGGACCTCTGTTTTTGTTTTGTTTCTCTGCTCACCTCCATTAAATCAGAGCATAGCCTTTAGCTATTTCTGTTTCCACATTAATTCCTTATTAATCCCTTCCCCAGCAGTCTTCACTCTGTGACACTATCACTTTAATAATTACTGATATCCTGCACTTACAAATATGGAAATAACAATACTTCCCCTGTAGTAAGCTAGCCTAAATCTACCATGAAAATACATTCTTTTTTTTTTTTTTGTACCAGTGCTGGGGTTTGAACTCAGGGCCTTGGCACTGTCCTGAGTTTGCTTTGTTCAAGGTTAGTGCTCTACCACTTGAGCTACAACTTCCCTTCTAGCTTTTTTTCATTTTTTTTTATTTTTTGTGCTAGTCCTGGGTCTTGAACTTGGGACTTGGGCACTGTCTGCCTGCTCCTTTTGCTCAAGGCAAGCACTCTACCACTCAGCCACAGCATCACTTCTGGCTTTTTCAGAGTAGTTTATTGGAGATTGGAGTCTCATGGACTTTCCTGCCTGGATTAGCTTTAAATATGATCCTCAGATCTCAACCTCCTGAGTAAGTAGGATGCAGGAATGAGCCACCAGCCCCTGGCTCATATCCCCATTCTTAAAACAACTTCAACAGGTTTTGTTGTTCAGTTAACATACATATAGATAAAACCATGTTGGCCACATCTATCCCTATTTACCCATTACACTAGCCTTCCCCCCGCTCACTGGTACTTACCTCCACAACAGAGCCTATTTTACTTTCCTGTTGGATTCTCTTTTAAGAGATTTTTTTTTTTACTCTGAGTCTTGAGATTGGCTTTGGCTTGTAAGAACTCTTTAGAAGGTCTGATCCTACAGGTCCAGTTATAACCCAGTAAACATCTGATTTGTGTCCTCTAGACTCGACTGATGGAACTGCACCGCCAGTGGGAATTGCTGTTAGAGAAGATGCGGGAGAAAGGAATCAAACTGCTGCAGGCCCAGAAGTTGGTGCAGTATTTGCGAGAGTGTGAGGATGTGATGGACTGGATCAGCGACAAGGTGAATTGGGGAGGAAGACTCTGAGAGCCTCCCTAGGGAGAGGGACTCTTGAGAGCCAGCAGTAGGCAGCTGCAGCCAGACTAGATGCTGGGTGTAAGGGGACCACTGGGTCTCTTGCTGTAGAGAGGAATCTTTTGTTTCTATAACTCTAAACACTGAGGTATCTTGAACAGGATGCTTTAAAAGGACTGACAGAAGCCATGTAGAAAACTGTCCATGAAAGCTAACTTGGCTCCATATCTAATAAATCAGTTTCATATAACTTCCTGGGTAAAACGTTAAAAAAAATTTTAATTATCTTTAAGTAGTTGTACAAAGAAGTTCCCATTCTACAGAACAGTATATGAATACAAAGTGACTGATAACATTGTCACCAATCGCTCCTAACCCATGGATAAAACTTAAAAAGTTTTTTTGTTTTTGTTTTTTTTTTTTAAACCAACTGTTGACTGTGGCTCTGGTTTGGTCCCGAAATAGGAAGCAATTGTGACTTCTGAGGAGCTGGGCCAGGACCTAGAGCATGTAGAAGTTCTACAGAAGAAATTTGAAGAGTTTCAAACAGATCTGGCTGCTCATGAAGAAAGGGTTAATGAAGTGAACCAATTTGCTGCCAAACTCATCCAGGTAACATGTCACAGGATCATCGTGTGAGTCTTCTAGCCAATCCAAAGTAAATTTGGAAGGTCTCAAACTCCTTAGTGAGCAAACTTTTATAAGCATCCATAAAACTTTTGTTTAGATCTAAGCAAAGCCTTAGGTGCATTATCCCTAAACAAGAACATAGTTTTTACCTTGTAGTTGTGGGCAGGAAGGGCAGAGTTCATTTGATCTGTTTCCTCCACCCATTTTCAGGTGGGTGGGGCAAAGCTTTTATTGGACTGCTGAAGCTGGGTCTCTGGGTTTCTCAGATGAGGGTGTGGTGATGAATGCTTGCTTAGAGTTGGGAGGTGGCCACCAGTGCCACTTCCTTTTCAGTTGAGGTTTCCCAGGCTGTCTGGGGAGCTTAAGGGAATCTGGTAGAGTTCAAGGGAAGCTGTTGTATAGTCCATGGCAGGTGTGGGGGGAGCGGAGAATAGTTGGGTGGTATGGTGGTATAATCCTGTGATCCCAGAACTTGGCCAAGATAGGATTGAGTTCCAGGCCAGCCTGGGCTGCATAGTGATACTCTGTCAAGATAAAAAAGATACTTGGGCACTGGTGACTCGCTGGTGGCTCACACTGATAGTACTAGCTACTCAGGAGGCTAAGATTTGAGGATTGAGATTTGAAGTTGGCCTAAGTAGACAAATCTTCAGTTAACCAGCAAAAAGCCAGAACTAGAGGTGTGGCTCAAGTGGTAGAGCTCTAGCTGTGAACAGAATAGCAAAGCAAGAGCTCAGAGCACTGAGTTCAAGCCCCAGTACTGGCACACACTTGAAAAAGAATACATGAAACGACCTTACTGAGTTTCCTAATGCACCTCTAAGAGCTCCTTTTTTTTTTCTTTTTTTTTTTGGGTCCAGTTGTGAGGCCTGAACTCTTGGCCTGGGCGCTGTCCCTCAGCTCTTCAGCTCAAGGCTAGCGCTCTACCACTTCAGCCACAGCACCACTTCTGGCTTTTTTCTTTTTGCTTATGTGGTGCTGAGGAATTGAACCCAGGGCCTCAGGCATGCAAGGCAAGCGAAGAGCTCCTTTTTCATTCACCTCTTCTACCAAGGACAACATGCGCTAGAGACACCAAGTAGTAGGGAGCAGAGAGCTTTGGCTTTAGGGAGATTTTTTTCTCTCTCTCTCTTTTCTTTCTCTCTCTCTCTCTCTCTCCTTCCTTCCTTCCTTCCTTCCTTCCTTCCTTTCTTTCTTTCTTTCTTTCTTTCTTTTTCTTTCTTTCTTTCTTTCTCATGGGTTCTTGAACTCTAGGCCTGGGCGCTGTCCCTCAGCTCTTCCTCTCAAGGCTAGCGCTCTACCACTTGAGCCACAGTGCCACTTCCAGCTTTTTCTGTTTATGTGGTACTGAGGAATTGAACCCAGGGCCTCATGCATGCAAGGCAAGCACTCTACCACTGGGCCACCTTCCCAGTCCCGAGATTTTATTTTTTTTATTTATTTTGTCACTCCTATCCTGGGGCCTAAACTCAGGGTCTGGCCATTGTCCCTGAGCTTCTTTTTGCTTAAGGCTAGAATTCTAACACTAGAACTACAGCTCCACTTCTGGCTTTTTCTGTTTTTATGTACTGAGGAATCGACCCCAGGGTTTCATGCAGGCTAGGAAAGCACTCTACCACTAAGCCACATTCCTAGCCTTTAGGGAGATTATTATTTGAGGGAAACAGATATTAAACTTAGAGATATGCTTCAGTGCTGATTCTTGTTTCCTTTTCCAGTTATGGTTAAAAGAAGGTGGTTAGCATTCCTCAAAAATAGCTTTTTAGGACTGGGAACGTGGCTCAGTGGTAGAGTGCTTGCCCCTCATTCATGAGGCCCTGGGTTCGATTCCTCAGTACTACATAAACAGAAAAAGCCAGAAGTAGGCACTGTGGCTCAAGTGGTAGAGTGCTAGCCTTGAGCTAAAGAGCTGAGGGACAGTGCCCAGACCCAGAGTTCAAGCCCCAAGACCTATATAAAAATTAAAAAAAAAAGCTATTTAGCTGGGTGTCAGTGGCTTATGCCTTTAATCCTAGCTATTCATAAGGCTGGACCATGGTTTAAAGCCATCCTGGGTACAAAAGTTCCCATGAGACTCTTTATCTCCAGTTAATCACTCAAAAACTGGAAGTGTTATTATGGCTCAAAGGAGTAGAGTACTAGCCTTGAGTAAATGAGCTGAGGAACAGCACCCAGACCCTGAGTTCAAACTCCATGATTGACAAGAAAAAAAAAAAAGTTACATTGAGCAGAGACATTATTCCTTGCAAAGGCCTGAGCCATCCTCAAGTTGTGTTGAAGAAGAATGGTAGGCCAAGTCCCTGATCTGACAAGTGGATCCAAAACAACTGATTAGGGCTGGGTAGGGCTGGGAATGTGGCTTAGTAGTAGAGTGCTTGCCTAGCATACATGAAATCCTGGGTTCAATTCCTCAGGACTACATAAACAGAAAAGGCCGGAAGTGGCACTGTGGCGCCAGTGGTAGAGTGCTAGCCTTGAGCAAAAGAAACTTAAGGATAATGCCCAGGCCCTGAGTTCAAGCCCTAGGACTGACAAAAACAACCACTGATTACTTCAGGGTTTTTTTTTTCGTTTTTTTTTTCCTGCGGATTGTGGGGGTAAACCAGGGCCTTGTGTACAAGCTAGGCAAGCCCTCTACATACCCTAGTCCTTTTGTTGTTGTATTTTCTGAGATAAAGTCTTGGTAAATTTTGTCCAGGTTGACCTCAAACACTTTTTTTTGGTCGGTCATGGGGCTTGAACTCTGGGCCTGAGCATTGTCCCTCAGCTCTTCAGTTCAAGGATAGTGCTCTACCACTTGAGCCACAACTCCACTTTTGGTTTTCTGGTGTTTTATTGGAGATAAGAGTTTCATAGCCTTTCCTACCCGGGCTGACTTTGAACTGCAGTCCTCAGAGCTCAACCTCCCGAGTAGCTAGGAATACAGGCGTGAGCCACCTGTGCCAGCTCAAACTCTTAAACCTTCTGTCTCTGCCTCCCAATTATGTTCTCCTTAAAACAAAGAAATAGCCAGGCACCGGTGGCACATACCTATAATCCTAGCTACTCAGGAGGCTGAGATCTGAGGAGCCCAGGCAGGAAAATCTGTGAGGTTTTTTTTTTTTTTTATTGTGAAAATACTGTACAGAGAGGTTACAATTACATGGGCAAGACAATGAGTACATTTCTTATCAAGCATTGTAGCCTCCTCCTTTGTTTCCCCTTCCCATCCCTTCCCAGCTTCCCCCCGCCCCCATCTGTGAGATTCTTTTT